CCCTTAGGAGAGATTAACTCTTTAAACAGCTGCCAGTGGGCTACACATGCTTGGGCACCTGCTCTGGAGCCTATCTGAGGAACAGTTTTGGTAACTGGAAGGGCCTGAGGACTTAAGGAGAAAGAAAAGTGCATGAGGCAGGTTAATAAAAAACTAGGAAAATTCTCTGCCAATAGAATAAGGGAAATGGAGACAAAATATTTAAACAAAGGGCCAAGCAATCAACAGGTAGCTAATAAATCATAAGAGTCTATCTTCCCTAACCAAGGACACTTAGGAGCAGGTGGTTTACACCTCTACTCTCAAACCAGAGAGTGAGTAGCTTAAATCACCCTAGTCAAGTAGATAAATAACAGAGACCCTGCAGTGCCATTAGTGCCAACTAAACCCAAGAACCAAGGAAGTCAGGGGAATAAATAACAACAACAAAAAAGTAATTATGGCCAGACAAATCCAAGATAGAGGTAAAGATGATTAGAGGATGATCCCAAACCCTGCTATACGCTCATCTGATACATAAGCATGTTAAAGTACACACCTAAAAAGCTGATGAATAATCTGATTGAGACCTCCACTAAAATTCCCGTCTACAGAAAACACATAAAATCCTCAAGACAAAGGACCAAGTACATGCTCTCCCTTGAGCACACCCTTTCCTCCCTTTCCTCAGGTGTGTAATAATACTTTCTCCTAAGCTCTGAGGGCCCTCCTTTTGCCTACCTTCTCAGTGAGACAAAAGCAGTCCCCACTTGGCTCACTTCTGTCACTCAGACTTTTACTTCTCGGTGATCTAGCAGCCCAGCCCAGGCTCACTTCTGTTACCATGACTTCCTTTCCTGAGTCTAGGCAGCCCAGTCGAGGGTCACTTCTGTTACTGTCATCTTGCTTCTTCTATCCTAAGTCCTTCCTTTGTTTTACTAACCTAACCTTTATTAAACATAGTTGCAAAATCAGCTGGGCTTGTGTCTTGAGCTATTTCCTACATGAAGTAAAAAACCCACAAATCCCAAACCGTGCCTGGGTAGACCTGATGTGGCCCAGTCCTATCCTTTCTGGTGACATGGGCAGCATGGAGAACCCCAAAAAAGACAAACTTCACCTTCTTTTCAGTTGTGTTGGGATACAGTCCTACCTGAGCTTCGCTATCCCCCCAACTCCCATCCTCTCCCTTGTTCCCTGCATCCCCAACCAAATCCTGAGCTAAAAGGAAAAAAGTTGAAGGTAGTGAGAAGAGGACCAAGCAAACTGCCATAAACGGCTTTCCCTCAGTACTTGGTGCCTCAGGGTTACTGAAGCCTCTGGAGAGGAAGGGACAGGCATGTCTCTGACCAGAACATTTGTTCTGCCAAACACCAAAGTTCAATGTCTTTTAGGAGCAAAGAGAGGTAACAGGATATGGGGTTCATAGAGTGGGGCCTCTACTGGCACCTAGCAGAGTGCCCAAATCCTCACTGTCCTTTTGTGGGCAGACAAGCTACTTGAGAGTGGAACTTATTTTAAATTAATCACATATCACTTTTTAACCAGTTAACTGCCACATGTCCAAAATGGAAACCATCCCCACATGCCACAATATTTTGAATTTAATTAAAAAATCAATTTGCAATGAATATTATAAAAATAAATATAACTCACAATTCAGGTGTTCTTGAATATTTTCAGTTGAAAATTCTCATGAAAAATGATTTTTAAAGTGTCTATAGATACTTATGGCATACAAAGGGTTAAAGAGACACTGAAAAAGTGAGCTCTAAGAAATTATCAAGGAACACCAAAAGTGGAAACTGCATAGAGACTGGTAAGAGGGGTGGAGTCACCAAAGGGCTGGCTTGGAAGCAACTGAAGTTTTGGAGAGATATCTCAGCTATGGGCAGTTACCAGTGAGAATGCTGGGGTCTAATCCCCAAGCTGGCCCTCCAACATAGAGCACTGGAACTGAGAAGGGTACCACATAACATCTGGCTGTGAAAATCAGTGGGGTTGCTGTCTGCCAGGGATAAATGGCTGGAAATTCAGGCACCCTCTCAAAGGACCAAGGCACAACATTTCCTATGGAGCCACTCACCTTGTGCTCTGGCAGAGGGAGGGCAGAATGGACTAGAGCTCTGTGAGCAGAAGCCAGGATTGGGGGCTCTGGGGTTAGAGTTCAGAAGGAAGACACCCTGGTTTCCTGTGCTGAGTCATTCCTTCATGCTGCTGCAGTCATCTTTCTCATGCAGACATTTGCTATACAGGCAGCCTTGCCTGCGGAGAAGACAGTTGACACACCCTATTGGAAAACACCTTGCCTCTCTGTTGGGGAGATAATGAGGCCAATTAAGACACTTAGAATCACAGTTAGCCTCCCAGCAGAAGCAATTGCTCCACCAGGTTGAAAAAAACTCTTGCCACACTTGTGGACAATTGCCTGAGGGCAATTCAAGACAGAATCTTATCTGTAGACAGAAGTGTTCTCTGGAGGCTTTGAATCTTTGCCTGATCTAATTAGACTGAAATAGAGTTTGACCCTGTCCTGCACTAGAGATTGAGAGGTATAGCAGATCTACCTAATACATAGTCACAAACACAAACAGGCAGCCAAAATGAGGAGACAAAGAAACAACCTCCAATGAAAGAACAAGAGAATTCTCCAGAAGAACAGATTAATGAAAAACGGAGATAAGAAATTTATCTTGGAAATCAAGATAGCAGCATAGGTAATTACCTATACTTGCTGCCTCTCACAGCCACATCAAAACCACAAAACAGCAGAACAACTACCATCCAGAACCACGGAAAAGCTGGCTGAGTGGAAGTTTCACAACTAGAGAGGTGAAGAAAGCTCATTGAAACCAGTAAGAGGTGCAGAGGCGTGGAAAGTACTGCACCTGGATGTGCAGCTTTTTAAGCCAGGAGGGAGATACAAGCTCCCGCTTGCTCTAAACTCCAGTTCCTGGTGAGACTCTGGGGGACTCAGACACATACGGGGAGAAACTGGAATGTCTGGCATTGGGACAGAAACAGGAGGGCGGCTTACACTTAGAGGTGTTCGCAGCAATCATTGTTCCTGCACAGGGGCACGGGACACAGAGAACCAGGGACTTCTCTGGTTCAGGGCAGCCATTGCTGTTTGCTCCACCCTAGTGATTTCCAGAGACCCTTCCCCACCCAATTTACAACCACACCCAAGCTGTGAGCAGCGGCTTTTGCATATGAATGGCCTGTTCTTTTGCCTAAAACAAACTGCAGCTGGGTCAGAGAGCCCCAGAGATTCCAAAAGAAGACCACCCACTACGCAGCAGCAGTGGCCTTGCTTCACAACTGTGCCTCATCTGGGAACTTCCAAACCCCATACAAAGAGGAGGAATCTTCAGAAGATTCTGTAGCTCCTGCTGGGTGGCCGCAGACAGTGGCGGACCTTGTGCCTCCTTGGAGATCCAAGAGCCAGTGTTCCCAATGGTCAGAGTGAAACCATATCAGATCACAACTCTTCACATCCATAAGAGACACACTCAAGAGGCAGACTCAGTGAACACCAAAGCCCTACTGAAGCAAATCCTGCCCCATAAGGGTGTCTCCTGCGCAACAGATCTTCCAGTGTAGACACAGCTGGTCA